GAAGAGCTAAAGAGCCTCTTGATGAAAGTGAAAGAGGAGAGTGAAAAAGCTGGTTTAAAACTCAACATTCAAAAAACTAAGATCGTGGCATCTGGTCCCATCACTTCATGGCAATGGAGAATGCCATGGCATAGGGAAACAATGGAAACAGTGAGAGACTTTATTTTTCTGGGCTCCAAAATCACTGCAGATGGTGATTGCAGCCATGAAATTAAAAGACAATTGCTCTTTGGAAGAAAGGTTATGAACCTAGACAGCATATTAAAAAGCAGAGACATTATTTTGCCAACAAAGGTCTGTCTAGTCAAAGCTATGATTTTTCCAGTAGTCAAGTATGGATGTGAGAGTTGGACTATAAAGAAAGCTGAGAGCCAAAGAAATGATGCTTTTGAACTATGGTGTTTGAGAAGACTCTTGAGAGTCCCTTGGATTACAAGGAGATCCAACCAGTCCATCCTAAAGGAAATCAGTCCTGAATATTCATTGGAAGGACTGTTGCTGAAGCTGAAACTCCAATACTTTGGCCACTTGATGTGAAGAACTGACTCTTTGGAAAAGACCCTGATGGTGGGAAAGATTGAAGGCAGGAGAAGGGGACGACAGAGGATGAGATGGTTGGATGGCATCACTGACTCGATGGACATGGGTTTAAGCAAGCTCTGGGAGTTGGTGATGGACAGGAAAGCCTGGAGTGCTGCAGTCCATGGGGTCGAAAAGAGTCAGACATGGCTGAGCAACTGAACTGAACCGAACTGAACATGTATTTTATTAACCATCCTTTATTCTGTTTTACATATGGTGTTGCTAAGTTTCCCTATTCTTAATAATCCAGTGTTGACATTGTAAGCCTTTGGGATTTAATCTATTTTAGCTGTTACAGACATCCTATACATATCTTTAGTGGGACTTGCACACTAGCTGAAGCATCTAGAGTCTCATGCACTGCTTGAATTCTTACAAAATACATAAAAGACATTGTATTTAATAACTTCAGAACAATTTGGGCTACAGGTAGAATTCAACTTGCACACTAGCAAGGAATTGTAAATTCCAAAACTCTGCTCACTCCCCCCCCCCACCCCATTTTAGGAAATAAGAATATTTTAAAATGCAGTTTTCTTAAAGGATGCTCAGAAATACACACCTTGAGTACCATCTTCTGACAAAAGCTACAAAATCAACCAGAGCTTGCACCACCTTCTAAATGCACATTTAGAAATAAATCACAATGGGTGACAGTCTTTCAGTTTGTTTAGACCAGTGCTTCTGAACGAGGAGTGATTTTGTCTCACTCCTCCATGCAGTGACTGGAGACATCTTAGCCAATCACTGTTGGGGAAGGGGGTACACTGGCATCTAGTGGGCAGGGGCTAGAGATGCTGCTGAACATCCCGCAGTGCACAGGACAGCCCCCACAAGAGTCACCTAGCCCCAAGCGCCAACTGTGCTGAGGCTGGAAAAATGTCATTTACAGTAAAACTTTATATGGAAAGAAAGGAACACTTCCCTGAGATGTGCACAGGCTGCTCTACCAGACTGGTCTTGAATTAAGGCAGGTTGAACAAGTGATTCTGGGCAATAATAATAAGAATAAATCACAAAAGAGCTTGCTTTTTATGTATGATTCATATCTTTTTACTCATTTAATGCTCACAATATCCTGAGACATAGGTGCCATTCTCTCCTTCATTTTTTTCAGTAGGGGAAACAGACAGGGAGATTACTTAGCTTGCTTGAAGGCTAGTACCTAGTGAGTGTCAGAGCCAAGGCTTAGACCATCTGGCTTTGGAGTCTGGGCTAAGTCCCACTTCCACTTCTTCCACTTCTGGGCTAAGTCCCACTTCTGTGCTTCCTAGGATGGAACACCGAGCAAGAGAGCCTGCCTTTGCGCCTAATCCAGCATGTGATCCTTGGCCAGCACTTTACTAGCCATCAAAGAGCCAAGAGCAACATTAACCAGAAGCAAGTGTCAGGCTTCCCTTATAGCTCAGTTGCTGAAGAATCCGCCTGCAATGCAGGAGACCCCAGTTCAATTCCTGGGTCGGAAAGATCCACTGGAGAAGGGATAGGCTACCCACTCCAGTATTCCGCAATGCGGGAGACTTGGGTTCCATCCCCAGGTTGGGAAGATCCCCTAGATAAGGGAAAGGCTACCCACTTAGTATTCTAGCCTAGAGAATTCCATGGACTGTATAGTCCCGGACACAACTGAGTGACTTTTACTTTCAAGTGTCACGATGGGGTACTTTGATAGGAACACCTGAAACCTTAGCACTATCATGATGCCTATAGGGCAATTTCTGAAGCCTTTAAAGGACAATGGTTCAATTATTCAAAGACTTAGGCCAGGAGTCTGATTATTAATTTTATAAAAATCATCTCTGAAAACTATACTGTTTGCATACTCAGAAACTCCCTCTAACTGTTCAGGTTTGTTCCTTAAGGTAACTCACTTCCTTCCTCCTCCTGAACTTTCTTCTGTCTATATCCAACAGTCATTTAACCAGGAAATTATTTTCTTGTTCAAGTTTGGTTTCTGCATCTGATGCCTCTAGTGATAAAATTTAACCATACTAGATTAATGTAAAACTAATGAATAGTAAATCCAGTGGGCTAATGACTTCATAATGGGACCATATAATTCCTTAAAGACAGTCAGAGTTGTGGGGCTCAATTGCTCTCAATTAACTGACCCACCTACCATTTCAGCACATGCTCTGAGCCAGGACCTGTCTGGGCCCTAGAAACACAAGTATGAGCAAGACATGGAGCTGAGAGTCTTACAGGAAAAACAGAGATCTCAGGAAGGATCAGGGGATAAACGGGAAGTGCAGGGTACAATAGGCGTGCACATCGAGGGGATCTAGCCCACTGTGGTATCAGGAACGGCCTCCTGTGTCAGCAATACTAAGGCAGTGTCTTCAAGGAGCTTGCAACATACTTAGGGAGATTAGACTGAGACCCAAAGCAATTGGAGAATAGGTGCGGGCTGAGTATGAGTGGGATGAGGCTTATGGCAAAGAAAAGCTCTCTGAGGGCTAAAGAACACAGGAAGCTTCCAGGAGGGGAGACTTCAAGCTGGACCTTGAAGGATGTGCAGGATTTGGTGTCATAAAAGTGAGAACACAAACAAATGCCAGAAGGCAGGACCTGTGAAAAATAGGCTGATTGGAGTATCAGGTGTGTTTTAGGAAGGCAAGAAGAGCATTTTAAGATGTAAGCGCCAGAGAGTATTAAACTATTGTTCTAAAGGAGTGCTTAAACCTTCATTTATCTGTTTCAATGAAACATTTTCTATTCCAGCAATGACGGCTCTTCGGAGTTATCACAGGTCAGGAGTCTCTATTTCAGTTGGGAAGAAAGCAACCACACCATGACATTTTAGTTTGGTGTGTTGACATTTGTTCCCAGGAATGAAGATGAGTTGGATAAGATGAGTCTGACCGCTACGCTGCAAGTGTAAAGAGCTTGCTGGTTCTGAGGGTGAGGAGGAGTAAGAACTTGTGAAGAGGGTGAGCAATTGCACAGGAAATGACTCTAGGAAAATATACTAAAAAAATACTCTTCTTTCATTTTCTCCCAAGGAGCACATCACTGAAAGCAGAGGTCAGTTTCCCAATCTCTGTGTCGAGCCTTCAGGTCTGGGGGAGAAGGGAGTGTGTGTGTGTGTGTGTGTGTGTGTGTGTGTTGGGTACACAGTTGGGGAGACGATAAGGAGGAATGCTGTGGAGGAGGCTCCTACATCTCTCTGTGCTATAATAGGATGAGGGGATGGGCATTACTCAGCACTGGGGGTCTCAGTCTGGGAGTTGCCAGACCCTACAGGAGAAGAAGGTCCCTTGGAGAAGGAAATGGCAACCCACTTCAGTATTCTTGCCTGGAAAATTCCATGACCAGAGGAGCCTGGTGGGCTACAGTTCATGGGGTCGCAAAAGAGTCGGACACAACCGAGTGACTAAAAACAGCAACAGGAGACACTTAGGAAGCACTGAGTGTTCATGGTTTGGGTAGGGATGACATGGTAAAAAGTGTGTAATGGGAGGAAGCTAGCAACATTTGGAAGGGTCAGAAGCTCATCTCAGTGACTGAGGAAAGAGCCTAGAGGCGAGGATCTGCTTAGTGGACTCTGTAAGATAGAAGGTATGAAGTGTTAAAGAAAGCCTGGTTAAGGTGGTGGCAACTAAAATAGAAGAGCAAATTCAGGAAAAAAGCAATAGGATTGGGAAAGAGCGCAAGCACTCTGAGACGTGGAGCCCGGAGGCTGACGTGTGAAGAGGAATAGGAATGCCTAAAGAGTAGGAGTGATGGATGCATTGAGCTTGTGGTGGTGGGAAGGAAGGAAGCTTAAGTTTGGACACCAGAGGGTTATTAGCTTAGACCACCGAAGTGAATCCAGGAGAATGGATACACCTGGAAGAAGTGAAAAATAATGGTCTACTGAGCACCTACTGTATACCAGGCACTTAAGAATTTCCCACTCACATTTTCAGAATTCTCCTGTCTCGGGGCTTGGGCTCTTGTCTCCATTTACAGAGGAGAAAATGTGATGCTTGGAGAGGTGAAGTACAGACCCAATGTGATACAGTTGAGGACGGGGAGCACTGGGATGCCTGGCTCAGAACCCACATTCTTAACTTGCACGATATTCTGCAAGAAGAGCAAAAGGCTAAAGCTGACCCGTGCAGGCATCCTCAGTCAGGGGAGGGGAGGAGGAGGAGAAACCAGTGAAGTGCCCGGAGAGGTCACATGAAGACCAGGACGTGTCTGTTGGAGACGCAGGGACGTGGGGACAAGGGTCCCCACATGGGTGCCACCACACAGTGGATGAACACAAGAAGTCTCTGCTGCTGCTTATGAAGACATTTGGAAATACAAGGGACTGTTTCATAATATTTGGTCTGAGTTGTTTATCTTATTTAGAGTGGATTGAAAACCAAATCCCCAAATGTAATCATTTCACAATAAAAAAACAAAAACACCAAATCTTGTGTATACTCTACCTGGAGCTGTCCCTGGAGGAGAGGCTGACCTTGAGGAGGTATTTGGCTTGATTGATCTATTCACCATGGGAGCTGAAACACACAATCATATATATATTAGGGTTATATGAATATATTGTAGATACAGTCTACTGATGGTGATTTACACTTATAGGAAAATGCATGGTAGAAATAATGGGCTAGACCAGATAATTCGCAAAGAATGGGAGATACAATTAAGCCCACAAGCCATTAAAAGTAGCCTTTTCAGTAGAAAAAAAGAAACATTTTTCGAATGAATATGTTAATAATTAAAGTGAATACTTGCTTGGAATTTCATTTGCCAAACTGGGGGTCTCAGAGATGAAAGAGTTTGTTTTTCATCAGGGGAACATGTATTAAACTAACAGTGGAAGGCCCAAATTAATAGCCCTGCATTCCCTGCCACTCATAACACATCATTGCTCTTGGATTTTGTAGGTTTTGGGGATATGGGGGCATTTCATTTGTACTTATTGTTTTATGGTTATGGGTGAATTCAGGAATCCTGGAGGGCCTACAAGCTGTTGTTGATATTTAGGGCATGAAGGCGAGGGCTGTGACGTGATGACAGTGTAAAACCTGAGTACGGCTACTTCCGAGTTCAAGTTTATTAGATGAGTAGTGTTACTTGAAGAGGCAGCATTTATACGGATTATATTCTCCATAGCGACTATGTCCGAAGTAATCCTACCCTATTTCTCGCCTCATCTGAGGGTACGTGGCATGGGCTTTTTAAGATAATTTATTTGTAACTGCATTTGTTATTTCGTGAAGGATTTACAAATGAAATGTTTCTTGTGGGCCTGATGTAGCACTAAATTTTAAAGAATTAGAACACAAAGCATATTTTATTCTTTTATTTTCTCAGTCTTCTGCAGAAATTATTCCTGGTACAATATTTGTAAAGTCAGCCTGGTGGCTCATGACCTCATTAGTATTAGATTTTATGAGAAACCCATTCTTAGTGAAGAGCTAAAGAGAAGAACCTAGGTGCTTTTATAATTTGAGAAGACAGTATTAAATCACGGAAAAGGATGGAGAAAGAAGAATCAAGGTTGAAAAATACAGGGATGGGTTGTTCACTATGTGCTCTGATGGACCAGCCACTCAACCAAAGAAGGCAAAGGCCACGGAGCAGAGGTCTCAGCAGCGTCATGTCTGAGCACTTTAGTACTTGTGAGCAAATAATGCCCCAATCAACTGGTAGAAGTTTTCAGGTGCTTAAAACTGCAAACTCTTGCCTTTTTCAGATGGGATTGAACTGTCTTCTGTAGGGTGAATATAGTTTTCATCTTCATCTTCCACAGGGACCACATAATCAGCCTAAAAGAAATACAGAAATGCTGTACATTTAGAGCTTACTGGATAAGAAAGGGTGATATTAAGAAATTTTTCATAATCCATATACCATTGAACTTCCTGATGTAAAGGGATTTGGTTACTTCTAGTATATTCACAGCGTGCAACCATCACCACAATTATCTTTAGAACATTGTCATCACCCCCAAAAGGAACTCTGCACCCATTAGTCACTCCCAACCACCCCCTCCCCTGACCCAGTCAACCATGAACCTTCTTTCTGTCTTTAAGAATTGCCCATTCTGGGCATTTTATGTAAATAGAATCATACACTATTAAAATATGCAGTCTTTTGTGATTTCTTATAACAGAAATTTCAAGGATCAGCCACGTTGTAGTATGTATCACTACTTCATTCCCTTTTATGGACAACTCATATTCCATTGTATGATTATACCCATTTTACTTATCCATTTATCAGCTGTTTCTACTTTGGGGCTGTTATAAGTAATGATATGAACATTCATGTACAAATTTTGTGTAGATGGACATTTTTCTTGGGAATATACCTAATGATGGAATTGCTGGATCATATTGTAGCTCTATAGTTAATAGTTTGAGTAATGGTTAAGTTGTTTTCCAAAGTGGCTGCACTAATTTTTCATTTCCACTAGCAATGTATAAGGGTTCCAATTTCTCCACATATTCACCAGTACTTCTTATTGTCTTCTTTTTTATTATAAGCATCCTTGTAGGTATGAAGTGTATCTAACTGTAATTTTGATTTGCATTTCCCTGATGGTTAATGACATTAGCATCTTTTTGTCTGCTTATTGGCCATTTATATATATTCTTCAGAGAAAAATCTATTCCACCCCTTTGTCCACTTTTAATCTGGTTATCTTTTTATCTTTGGATGATTAGAGTTCTTTAAATGTTCCAGATATAAATCTTTTATGGATATATAATTTGCAAAAAAATTCTCTCATTCTATAGGTTGTCCTTTCCCTTCTTTGTGGCATCATTTACAGCACAGAAGTTTTACATTTTAAAGTACATTTTATCTATTTTTTCTTTTGTTGTATCTAATAAACCATTGCCTATTCCAAGGTTATAAAGATTTATATCTATGTTTTCTTCCAAGAATTTCATAGTTTTATTAACAGCTCTTATACTCAATCCTATGATCAATTTTTATCTGATTTTTAAAAATATGATGTGAGATAGGAGTTCAATTTCATTCTTTTGCAAACAGTGGCTGACTTTATTTTTCTGGGCTCCAAAATCACTGCAGATGGTGACTGCAGCCATGAAATTAAAAGATGCTTACTCCTTGGAAGGAAAGTTATGACCAACCTAGACAGCATATTGAAAGACAGAAACATTACTTTGTCAACAAAGGTCCGTCTAGTCAAGGCTATGGTTTTTCCAGTAGTCATGTATGGATGTGATAGTTGGACTATAAAGAAAGCTGAGCACCGAAGAATTGATGCTTTTGAACGGTGGTGTTGGAGAAGATTCTTGAGAGTTCCTTGGACTGCAAGGAGATCCAACCAGTCCATCCTAAAGGAAATCAATCCTGAATATTCACTGGAAGGACTGATGCTAAAGCTGAAACTCTAATACTTTGGCCACTTGATGTGAAGAGCTGACTCATTTGAAAAGACCCTGTTGCTGGGAAAGATTGAGGGCAGAAGGAGAGGGGACGACAGAGGATGAGATGGTTGGATGGCATCACCAACTCAATGGACATGGGTTTGAGTGGACTCTGGGAATTGGTGATGGACAGGAAGGCCTGGTGTGCTGTGGTTCATGGGGTCACAAAGAGTCGTACACGACTGAGTGACTGAACTGAACTGAACTGATGCAGTTATCTTAGCACTATTTGTCTAAAAAATTGATTTTTCTTATTAAATTGTCTTGGCACCTTTGCCAATAATCAATTGACCATAAATATGGGGAGGGAGTGATTTTGTAAGAGTTCTTAAATGTCCACATGAGTTTCTTCCTTAACACATTTCATGTGAAAATTTAATAGCTTCACATACATTATTTCACTGAATTCTTTCAATAATACCTACCTATTAAGTTAGGTATTTTAAAAATTTTATTTATCCTTATTTTACAGATGAGGAACTTGAGAAAAGTTGAGTAATTTGTCCAAGGTCAAATAAAATCACAAAACTGATGCCCTGCAAGGACAGGTACTGGGTCAGTGCTCTGGGCACCAGTGAAGCCCTGGAACATTTGTGTTGAATGAAGGGCTGGTCTTTTGTCAGTGGATGCTGGAGAGGTAGTCCAGGATGGCCATGTAGCACCTGGGCTCTAGCATCTCATGATCTGGGTTCAAATGCTGGCTCTAGCATATAGCTCTTTGACCTTGGACCAGTTTTTCAACCCCTTGTCACCGCATCTGTACCATTTCCTCCTCTGTAATGCAGGTGATAATAGCATGCACTTCATAGAGCTGCTGTGAGGGTGTGATGAGATAGTAACACAGAGGACTCAGATCACCAGCTGATACACAGTGCTTGTCAAATGCTAGACCCTCCTGTCATTATAGGGCAGTTGCTCCTCCCCACCCCCAACTCTCTGGTCAGCCTATACCCCATATTTTCCCTGTAACCTGTATGGCAGAGCTAAACATTTTTATTTGTGCTTATATTTGACTTCTTCCTTTCCTATCTAATGTCTCGGCCAGATCTTAATGTTGTCTTCTATTTCTTTTTTAACTCTTCCTTATCTTGATTGTCCATCTCCTCATTCCAGAATATGTCTCCTCCAGTCTTCCCCTTTCCCCACTGGTTCAGACTTGCCTGAGCCACCGCCACAAAGCTGTGATTAGCAAAACTCAGCCCCTCCCCACTGGGGTCCACCTCCAGTTATTCATAGAAATGGAGAGCCTCATGTAACTCACAATCTTCATTTGTATTCTGTGTCTGAGTTGGTATCTTCATATAGATCCTCTGAATGCTGGAAGAATTAACAGTGAGACCCTAACAGATGGTCTCCCTACTGTGTCCCATGCTCAGATTCTCCCTGCCACCTGTTCACACCCTGAAAGGGCAGCATCCCCTCGGACTGACAGACAGACTGAGGATTGACAAACCAAATTCATTCTCAGTCTGCCGACTTCCTGACTTAAACTGTCCCTGGAGGCGGGGGTGGGTCATAAGCACAAGTGCTTATAGGAACAGGCATGGAACAACAATGGGGCATTTGCAGAGTCAGGCTCTGTCCAAGCCTTGTATCAGTGGTGAAGATGATGACAAGTGGAAATGGCTGAGTTGGAGGGGTGCCATGAGGCTCAGCTGCTTCGAGGCCATGACTGGCCAAGTGTTGACAGGCCCTTGGTTTTCAGGAGAAACTAGAAAACTGAATTTTATAAAGAATCTAGAATATGGTAGAAAGGAATCCAATTTATACAATACATAGAATGCTTCTTTGTGTGAGACACTGAATTTAGTGACGTATATATATTCCTTTATTAAATCTTTAACAGAACCTGAAGAGATGAAGAGAGACTCAGAGAGGTTATCTGATACCTAAAGTCACACAACTAGTAAGAATGAAGTAGGAATTTGGGTCTGGATGCTGCCTCTATTTTATTTAAAAAGTCTCTCTTTTATGTCTCTTGTTGGGCTACAAATTATACTAAGGTGGAAAAGAAGGACATTTTACAACATGTTTGTAAGCTATAGGTTTTATCACCTATAGGCATTTAGAAACAGTTGCTTCTTCAAGAAGCTGCAGTACCATTATGTCTGGTGATGGTTAAGAGTTGCCTTTAATGTTGTTTTCTTTCTTAGACTGTTGCGCTTGTGTACTAAGTCACTCAGTCATGTATAACTCTTTGTGACCTCATAGACTGTAGCCTGCCAGGCTCCTCTGTCCATAGGATTTCCCAGGCAAGAATATAGGAGCAGGTTGCCATTTCCTACACCAGGGGATCTTACTGACCCAGAGATCAAACCCACATCTCCTGCATTGGCAGGCAAATTCTTTACCACTGAGTCACCTGGGAAGTCCATTGCACTTGTATAATTGTTCTAAAGGCTAAGTTCGAGGGCTTGTCTTTGACTTTTTTTAAAATGCAGTACTTCTGGGAACCATAACATAATTCAATTTTATCAGTCATTATTCCAATAGTTTGAGTAAGTGTACCCATTCATTTTTAAAAATTTCATAGGGAATAAGACATGAAAATTTAGGTGCTGGCAGAAGGGAGATTAATAAGATAAACCTAGAGTTGGGTCCAAACAGCTGACAAAGGAGGTTCCTGGATACCTGGGGCTGGGGAGAGAGAGTGAGAAGCAAGAGATTCCAAAGGAAGTGAGGGGTCAGTTCTTCTACAGGTTGTGCAGGGTCTCCATACAGACCGGGGGTCTCCAGGATACATCCCATTGCACCCCTCTTAGAGGATCAGAGAGAAAAGAAAGTGGGGGAAAGAAAATGAGGCAGGACAGGGAGAGAAGCATAGGAGGATAAAGATGGGGAAGTATCTTATGGAGGAATGAGAGATTTACAGGAAACTAAGGGATAAGAAAGAGGAAATAGTGAGAGGGGCACAAATCCGGGCTGGAAATTACGTCATATACCTGATTAGTAAATGAAAGTGCTTAAATAATGCCATATATGACATTCTAAGAGAAAACATCCTTTCAGCAGGACAATGGAGAGTTGCGGGGCAGGTGGTTAGTGTCGTCAGAAAGCCAGGCCTGGAGGAAGGAAGACACGCCTGAGGCTACACTCTCCTGCCCCTCCCCTCATCTGGCCCCTGCATCCTGCCTTCCCCTTGGTCTGGGCAGCCTTCTGGCAGATTTACTTTACCTCATCCTCAAGGAGCTCTTTGGGTTTGGGTGGGACTTGAGGTTTATGCAGTGAAGTGTTGGCTGGCAGAGAGGTGGCCAGTCTTGCCTTTGCCGAAGGCCAGTTGGGTTTACTGGGAAGAGTCTTGCTGAAGGGTGGAGACTGCCTCTGGCTTGATCGGTTGTCTTGAGAGGAACAACAAGAACAACAAAACATAAGATGAAAGGATTCTGGATCATTTCCTGGGCAGAAGTCACCGAGTTCTAGAAAGTGTATAAAACTACCAGAATCCATGTAGCCAACATGCTATTGACTGGGGCATTCCTTTAAAGAGAAGTATGACATGTTAGGCAAAAATCTCAACAACCCATTGACCTATGTTATAAAAACCAGAAGAGTATCCTCCCAGGGAGCCATGAGATCCACAAACCCCAGAGAGCTGACAGTCCAAGCATGCGGCTAGATAGAGTGGATGGTGACCTTGGCAGTGCCCGGGGCTAAGGGGAGCAGTACTCCTCAGTGGGTTCATTTTGCTCCTTGAAGCCTTAAGGGCAGTAATTCTCAATCCTGCTTACACATGGGAATCACCTGTGAAAGTGAAAGCGTTAGTTGCTCAGTCATGTCTGACTCTTTGTGACTCCATGGACTGTAGCCCGCCAGGCTCCTCCAACCATAGGATTTTTTCAGACAAGAATACTGGCGTGGATTGCCATTTCCTTCTCCAGGGGATCTTCTTGACCCAGGAATCCAACCTGGGTCTCCCACATTGCAGGCAGACTCTTTACCATATGAGCTACAAGGGAAGCCCCTAGGAACCACCTAGGAGCTTTAAAAAAATGCCAAGGCCCCACCCCAAACATGCAGTTTAAAACTTCTGGGGAGGGATCTTTCATTATAGGTTTTAAAATTTCCCCAGGTTATTCTAAGGTATATGCAGGGTTGCAACTACTCATCTGGTAAAACTACACACTCCTCCCCTCAATGGTTTCCTTGAGTGGGGAAGAAGTTGTGAATCCCCCTGGTCCAGGGCCATCCTCAGCAACTGTTGTGGAAGGAGTCCAGTCACTGAAGTCAAGGGCCCTGGGTTGAGTCTCCTGCTCTCCACCCACCAGCTGAGCTCCTTTGGGCCTCTTCTTCATTATGTAACGTCTCTGGGACTCACATTCCTCATTTTAAAAATGAAGATGGCTAACTATCCACTTCAGAGAATTATTGTAGGGATTAGGAAGAAAACAGCAAAGGCAGGAGGAACACCGTGTCTGACAGAGACAATGCCTAATAAACAGAACTAACCTTAGCTGCATCATGTGGTGGAGGGCTTAGGCAACAGGGGTCTACCCAGTTGATCTGTGAGCGCAGATTCTGACTGATTCATTATAGGAAAATCTTAGCATGGGAATAACCTGGTGGGTTCCCCGTCCTGGAACAGCACAGGTGCCTACACTGGCTCCCAGCTTCCTCTGGCCCTGGCTCAATGCATCAGTCCCTGCCTCCGCCTGTCCTGCTCTGCTCTTGTCCCGGGGCCTGTTCCAGCTTCTGCATCGCTGAAGTTGTGTAGTTAGCTTCACACTGGGTGCTTCCCAGGAGCCTCTTTCCGGTGGTGTAGCTGTGTTAAGGCACCAAGGCATCTACTCTGCTGTGCCTGTGACAGTTTTAATAGCTTTATTGGCAGCTCCTGGAGTTTACTGAGATTTCTTAACGTAAGATTTAAGCCCAGCAGAAGTAGCAAAGCACAGAAAACAGGCTCTGAAGAGTATGACCTGGAATGAACTGCTTGAGTGTGAGCATGCTCAGTCATGTCCAACTCTTTACAACTCTATGGACTGACTGTAGCCTGCCAGGCTCCTCTGTCCATGAGATTCTCCAGGCAAGAATACTGGAGTGGGTTGCCATATCCTCCTCCAGGGGATCGTCTCGCCCCAGGGATCGGACTCGTCTCCTGTGTCTTATGCATTGGCAGGCAGATTCTTTACCACTAATGTCACCTGGGAAGCCCATGTGAGCTGCTTAATCTGCCCCCCTCTCCACCCCCAGCTTGAATGGTTGTCTCCTGGTCTGTAAAACAGGCCTGATGCAGCTCCTTCCTTCCTGAAGTTGTTGCGATGACTGAAGGAGGTCACAAATTGGGTGGCAGTGTGTGGAGCAGAGTGATGAAGAGCTAGGGCTTTGGAGGCTGAGTGGCCAGCTTGCATGCTAGTCTGCCACTTATAAAACCTTGGCCCAGTGAATTCCCTCTTCCAAGCATCTCCTTTTTCCTTTGTGATCGTCAAGAAGGTGAAGTCACCATGACAGTAAAGCGCTAAGTTGCAGACTGTAAAAAGTCTGGGAGTACATCTGTCTTGCTAGCTGCTGAGCATAGCTCTGGCACATAGCAGGTGCTCAGTAAGTTAATTATTGGAAGCAAGGGACAGTACCTGGTACCCATAAGGAGGAAGTTAACTACAAGTATCCCTTTACTCCCAGGGGTGCCAGGGTGATCACCACAGACTCAAGCCCTTCCTCACCTTTGTTGAACTTTAGTCACTTGTTAGAATGGAACACAGACTTCTTGGAGGGGCATTAAAAGCTACACTCAGGCCTGGAGACCACACCTAAGACTCGTCCATTTAATTCATGAGCCTCATTCTCGGCCTAGAGCTCTTGACCACTCTCTCCTCCCCACAGTTAAGAGTCTAGAGTCTTGACTCAGAGTGTCTGTACAGCTTGCCGATGTGGGGGCGGGGTGAGAGAGGAAGGAGGGGCCTTAGCAAACACTGAGATTCTCGCAGCTCTCCTTGTTCTGTACAGTCATCTCAAGAGAAATGTCAGAATCTTCAGTGTAGGAAGCTGGAGGAGAAGCAGCGACTAATCTCAGGATTGATTTCTCTGGGGACTACAGGAAATGAGGTGTGGTGGGGTTGGGAGCCACATCGGGGTGTGTTTGCTTTATCTTTTGCCTGTTTTCAACATTCCCAATTTGCAACGGTTACCCCCTCCTTCCCCAAAGGGCAAGCTTTCCAGCAGGGGGCTCCAGTGCCTGTGAGTGACCAGATGACCCACCTGGAAGTGGTGAGAGTGGAGCCGCCCGCCACCCTGCAGCCTTGGCCCGCCCTGCTCCCTGCTGCTCTGAAGGCCGAGCGCCCAAGGTCCGGCAGGGACTCACCGACATACTCGCCCCTGGTGAAGGGCAGGGCCGGGTGAACTGTCCGTGTCTCCTGCTCCGCAGGTGGCGGCTCGTAGCTGTCATCCCCGGCCTCCTCGGCTGGCAGCACGTACATTTCTGAGTCCGAGTGCTCGTCTGGGTTTTCATAATCGCTGTCCTGCAAGTGCAGACACCATGCTCAGGGCAGCATGCATGTTTAGGGGGCTGGAGCTGCTCCCCCAGCAGAGGGGCGAGAAAGCAAGGCTGGGAGGGGTTGGCTAAGCAGGGTTAGGCAGCTGTTAGTGGCAATGCTGGGGTTGAAGCCAGGCCTTTTTGTTTCCAAAATGTATCACCTGGACTGTATCCTGGGGAAACGTGTGGGCATCTAACCCCGAGGGTGGCTGAACTCTTTGTGTCTGCAAAGAACAGCCAGAGGTAAAAATATATCTCGAGAAGACAGAAAAAGGACCCACTAAAATAAAATAGCCAAATAGGTTTTATTAACCGTAATGTTGACAGTTGAGGAAAATGTAAGTTTATTAAGAGAGGGTAAGAGGAAGCTCAGGAACACAGACACCTTTGAGGAGGTGAGGTTTGTTTGTTTTAAACAGAGCTGGAAAGCTTCAGGGATGAGGATTTCAAACTGACTCAGTCCATTCTCTTTCTTTCTTTCTTTTTTGAAATCTTGAGGCACTTATGCCAACTAAGACTTTTATTATTATTATTTAAGTTTATTTTTTTGGCCACACCACATGGCATGCAGGATCTTAGTAGCCTGACCCGGGATTGAACCTATGCCCCCTGCAGGGGAAGCTCAGAGTCTTAACCACAGGACCACCAGAGCAGCCCTTCTTTTTGTTTCTTTTTTTTAACATGCATTTTATTTAAGTCCATCTTGAAAATACATTGACCCAGCCCAAAGTTCACACAGTTTACAAGGAGGAAGTTCTTCCCAGTTGCTCAGTTCCTTTCCCCTCAGGCAAATACAGCTACTAGCCTCTTGTGCATTTTGTGTGATTTTTTTTTTTTTTTTTCTGTATGCAGTGCACACATATACTAACATACTCATGTGCAGGAAATCTTTGATTCAGGACTTAAGAGGTCCTCTGACCTCCGTGCCCACTGCTCCCACACACCGCCTGACACAATGCTTCGTCCAAACACGATTTTCCTCTGAATCGATGATGCACCTGCCTTTTGGCCTGTCTGACAACTGTGTAACATTAAAGTGGATGCTGGGTTTCCTTCAAGCTGAATCTTCAGGGCCCATGACGGGGCCAGCCCATGATCGGTGCTCAGGATGTTGGGAACAGGCAGAGGAGTCGGTGAGTGAGCACTGTGCTTTCCTCCTCAGCTGGAAGGGAGATGGAGGAGAGAGGGAGGGTGAAGGGTGGGAGAAGGAAAGAGAAACGAGGCTGAAGAGAGAGCATTTCCAGAGGTGGCTGGAGGAGCCTGGGAGAGAGACGAAAAGGAGGAAAGAGCCCAGAGGAGGGTGCTTGTCTTTAACCCTGGTGTGGGGGAGACAGGAAGGGACACATAAGAAAACCACTGTAGGGGGGATTTTCCAAAACCCTAGGTCAGAAATAGCAGATGGGAATATGAAAATAGGCTGAATAAAATAGTGATAATAGTGATTATTATTATAACCAACATTTCTATGCACTGCATACCTCACTGACCCCTCACCACAATCATAGGAGATAGTATTTTTTTTAATCCCATTTTACAGTTGAGGAAACCAAGGCACAGAGGAGTTGAGTAATTTTGACTCTGCAATCTGTGATCTGGAGAAATCAGTGATGATTCCCAGGCAGGGGGCCTGGGAGATAGAGTAGGAATGCAAGGGTGGGCTGGAGGGGAGGCTTAACAGGGCAAGACCCTGGCTTCCCAAACCAAGGACCCTCTTTCCAGGCCAAGGACCTGATTGCTGCTGTTGTGGCATTCCATGGTGACGTCAGTATGAATACTGAGAAGCAGTTGCTTTAATAGACATTCAGAAAGTGAAAGAACCAGTGGGTAGCCAGACACATGTGCCTGAGCTGGGGGTGGCATGAGCATCCCACTTTGTTTCAGTTTTTTCACAGAGCAGAGATGGGCTTCATGGACTTAATTACCTGGAGGCTGAGGATTGGTGTGCATACTGGGGAGGGTTCTGGAGTCCTCGCCGCCCCTCCAGCAGAGCAGTCTGACTGAGAGGACCAGGTGGGCAGAGGTGGCATAGAGGGTATAGGAAGAGAGACGCCAGGTCAGCTGTTCCTAGCAGTCGTCCTCCGACACTGGGCTGCCCACCAGACTGTGCCCCGAATGAAGACCGGACTGAGATGTAAATCTAAGACCCAGCACAGGACCGGCTGCAGGGTAGGTGCCCACCCAGCGTACATGGAATGGATGAGTCACTGATGCGGCCTGGGCTCTCAGGGACTGAGGAGGAGGGGATGGCTGCTCAGAAGTCCTGAGCTGGCCCTTCATTTGGAAAGGCTCTTCTGTGGGAGATGTACAACGAGCCTCTCCTACTTAAGCACCATAGAATGTATTGAATGCTTTCTCATCAAGAGAATTACAAGAGAATCTGTTCAAACTTCTGAGAGTTTTAAAGAATCCTCCTCCCCCCAAGTTATTCTAAATTATGACTAAATTCATTTGTTAACTCATTAATTCATTTAGTACTTGAGAAAGTGCAATACTTTGGACAGTCTGATGGGAACTCTGAAGGAGCGACTGTGTCATCAGACAAAAATCTTGTAAAATTGACCATTCCTTTATTCATTTAATCAGAATTTATTCACCTACTCTGTACCAGCTTGACTCTGAGCATAGTCCCTGGCCTCACAAAGCTTATATGTTAGCAGGGGAGACCAAAAACAAACAAATAGTGAATAATAAATAAATAATCAAGTGGATGAAATATCTACCCCTGGTGATAGCACTGAGGAGGGGGGTGGTTCAGAGAGGGTGGACAGGTCTACATGGGTCAAATGTCATCAGGTCTGGAGGCTTTATCAACAAGTCTGGATTTCATTCAGTGTACAAAGGGAATCCAATAAGGATTGTGAATGATTGTGAGTGAATGTTCAGGCAATCCTTGTTACAGCTGATGGGCTTCCCTGGCGACTCAGTAAGTAAAAAATCCACCTGCAAGGCAGGAGACCTGGGTTCGATCCCTGGGTCTGGAAGATCCCCCTGAGAAAGAGATGGCAACCCACTCCAGTAATCTTGCCTGGGAAATCCCATGGACAGAGATGCCTGCTGGGCTGCAGTCCATGGGGTCGCTCAGAGCCGGACGCAAGATAGCGACTGAACCACCGCCATAGCTGGTACTTCCGTTTTGGTTGTTTGACTTTGGGACACAAGTCATTCCCTCCTCTTCAGGCTGATTTTATTTTATGTTTTCTAAGTCCCCAATGCGTGTTCTTTTCATCCAGCGAGCGAGCTCGGTTTTCTCGGCTGCCTGGTGAATTGGTCCAGCTTCTTCAATTTTGCTTCAGATGTGACCTGGTGGTGCTGCCAGCAGGGGGCGCAGCTGCAGCGCTTCTGAGGGATCAGTGCCTCCCTCAGAAGTTCCTCCCCCGGGAGGAACTCCTTGTCTGGGTGACCCACAGAGAGGCAACCTCCTCCCTTCTTTAGAAAAATCTCTTCTCTGCAGTTGAAAAGAGAGGAACTCCGGTCTCCTAATGCTCTGAATAAAATCCAGGTGGGTGTAAACAGTGTGAAGCTGGGCTCAGCTGAGTTCTGGGCCCTGGACAGGAGTCCTGGGTTCTCATTCTGCTGGGCCGCTGAGAAATTGAGACTGTCAGCAAGTCGTTTTCATGTTCTTGGCTTCAGTTTCCACAGGAGATATGTGGTTGTATAGAGGCCCTCTGGGATCCCTTTCAGACATGAAGCTCACAGACTAGAGAAGACTAACTTTCTGTGGGGATATGATATATGAGGAATTATCATTGTGCCCAGGAGTTTTTAGGATGTCTTGTCTCTTGAAGACTCAGCCCCAAAGAGCTCTGTGGGCTGCAGAGCCGTCTTGAAGGGGTTCACAGTTAATTCAGACCCACCATTCCAACGTCGTCATGGTCAGGGAGAGCCCTCTCAACTTGAAGCCCTCCGAGTCTGTTCATATCCTCTTGGTCATAGCAAGCCTCTTGGGTTTGACAAATCTGGGTCTGAGATCTGGGTTTGACTTTTGGAATTGCAGGTACTTACCCTCTCCCATGCCTTGGTTTCTTCACCTGTAAAATGGACAGGACTGATGTCCAAACTGCTTAACCACTAATACGGCTCAGGTGCTGACCATGACCTTGAGGAGTGACCCAGAGGCTCCCTGATGTGCCAGGCGTTCACGCTTCAGTTGTTGGTTTGATTAGGACTCCTGTCAGGGACCAAGCAGTGATGGGGCACTAGGGAATTCAGGGCAAAAGCATTTGCCAACTGACTGGGAAATATTCAAACTCTTTAACATCTTTTTTTGGTTCTGAATACCAGTAGGAAATGGGGATAAGAATGCTGACTCATAGGGCTGTGGCGAGGATTACATGAGGTGGTAGGTATAAAGCGTCTAGCCCAGCACAATGTGGTGCTGGCCCAAGTCAGCCTACTGCTGTCCTGCCTATTGGCGGCCCTTCCAGCCCAGCTATCTGCCGTCTGTGATGGGCAGCTGACCACCAGCATTTCATTCAGAAACAAGTCCTTATAAAGACCTCCCAGGGGCCATGGTGAAAATGGTACCCTTCTCATCCCAGGAACAAATACTCACGAAGTCATCTGACCACTGCTCCTCTTCGTCGGCTGGGCTCTCTGAAATGGCATGTTGGAAGAAAATGAACAATATAAATTTTTACTGGCCAGCTCCACTCTGTCCAGGAGCACTCTGCACCTGCCTGCCCTGCCCTTGGGCCACATGCTCCCATCTGCTAGGCCTGAGGCAGTTATTACAGTCATCTCACATTCATTCCTTTTGAATACTTTTTTAAAAAACAGTCAATTTTCAAAGTATTAGTAAAAGTCCCACTAGGGCAGAGAAACTGTAACTCTGACCCTTAACGTCTTTGTCAAGGGACATTTTTGGGACCTTGGAGTAGCAACCCATGCTGTCCTGCTTCCTCACATCTTTTTAAATCAATATGTGGATGGTGTAGTAAGAAGAGCCCTGGACAGGGAGTCAGAGAGATCTAAATTCTCATCCAGGTTCTAACTTCTCTGGACCGCCTCAATTTTTAGATCTATAATATAAAATTCAGGATCTCTAAAAGGGGATCACTTCCAAGATTCTGTCTGGCTCTAACATTGACGTTTTTATTTTTAAAAGTTTTTTTTTTCCGATGTGTTGCTACATGCTGGACAATATTATCAGAGCTTCGTATTCACTTTCTCAAAAACCTTATGAGGAAACTGAGGCCTAGAGAAGATAAATCATTTGCCCAAGATCATGTAGTAAATGGTAAAGTCAGGAGTTGAGCCCTGCACGTTGATTGACTTCCAAGTGCAAGCTCTGAACCTCAGCACCATGCTGTTCTTGCTCTCCTTGGGCTCCAGGGTGCAGCCACTGTCTTAGGCTCTACAGCAGGTATAAAAATGGATGTGACAGGTCTTGAGTAGCTTATGAAATTGAAGAATGAAATAGGCCTGGATTATGACAGCCAGGGAGACTATCTGACTCCTTTTCCTCCAAAACACACTTAGAGTTTGAGAAGCTTAGCATCAATCCCATCACATAAACTGACCTTAGAGGCTAAATAAAATTCTCTCAATCAGACCCAAGTTCAGATGGTAGAGTAGCATCAATGACTGCACCATAGGGGCCACATCTCCCCTCCTACCCCACTGAGCAGTTGCGGCTAGAGGACTTGATGGGTGGTCCCCGAATCCCCTGGAACCTCAATAGAAACTTTTCTTGCCATTTCTGCCACTGGAGACCTCTGACTCCAGCTCTAGGCAGTTCCACAGAGGCACAAGGAAAAGAATTACAGAGATGAAGTGAGAGCAGGAAGGAGGTCTTGTATCAGAACAACCACCTCTTTAGAAATGACAGCAATAGCAACTCTCTCTTGAGAAAAACATGATAGACACAAAGAAGGAGCTTCATTCTACAAGTGGATCAAACTTTGACATTAACAGAAAATAATTCTTATGAAATTATTCTCCGGGCTGACTTATACCAAATGACAGTGTATTCTGATCACTAAGTTGCTAAGAAACTCTAAAAGAATAGGTGAACAAGTCTTCTTCCCAATATGCCAATATTGGCCCAATGGGGAGTAAGTTTCTAATACCTTAAGTCTGGGGATAACTGAAGGTCAAAACGTATAGCAGCAAGATGCTATTGTTTCAACCATTTAAAAACAGAAACATTTATAAAATATTTTTATAAGACACAATTCCTTGCCTTGGTCAACCCTGGAGTCAGGATCCACTTGATCATCAGCTAGTGGAAAAAGCAGTTGTAGCTGTCATCTAACTAGTTTTCCTGTCTCTGTGGTCTTTCCTCTTCAATTCATCCTTCTAACTGTTTCTAGTTATTTTCTTAAGACAGAAATTGGCTCATGCTGCCCTTTCCTCAAGAATCATCAGTGGCTCCCTACAGAATAGTTGAGCTTCTGTGTCAACACGTTCACACACTGTACCTGCTGTCCCTCCCTTGCTCACTCACAGTGATGCCCGATAGCTTGTTCCTCCATCTTAGGATTTTGATAGTTCTCTGCTCTGCTCATGCGGCTCCCCTAGCCCATCTCCCTTCTTCCATGGAAACCCCTGTCATCCCTCCTCCATGAGGTTCTCTCCAGTCCCTCTGGTCATAACCCTCTGGTCAGGGTCCTCTCCAGTCCCTCTGGGTTGTGGGTTTTGACCTCGTAGATGCTGCCGGCATCTTGTGACATGTACTTCATCCTGCCCTAAGAGACACGATTTATTGTCTCTCTGTACTGAAAAGCAAGACCTATTTATCTTTGGGTCTGGATGCCATTTTGCATTTGTAATTCTGCACTAATACTGAAACAAAAGCATAAGCCAGTAAATGAATTGAATGAGTGAAAATGAGGATAGTAATAAGAGATTCCATCATTGAATATTTCCTGCGTGCTGGGTGCTAGGGGAGATATTATGAATGCATTTCTTTGTTTATTGTCAAAACAGTCTCTGTCGTAGGTGCCTTATTATCTGTTTTATAGTCAAGGAAAATGAAGCTAAGAGAGGTTGCAAAACCTGCCTGAGGCACATGGCTAGTGAGTGCAGGGACTGGATTGGAGGCCAGGCTGTGTTGGCTTCTGCAGCTGAAATCTCATGTGAACGGCCTGGCCCTCCACAGAGCATTCAGATAAAACCCAGGAGAAACAAGAATAGCCCAATCCAGGCATTGTGGCACATCGAGGCAGAAAACAGAGAAAAGCATCTGGAGGTGGAGGTTATTTGCTTGGTACCCCACCTTCCCCAGCTACATCTGTCTTCTGGCACAGCATCACACTCATCAAGTTATACATAGCAAGCCATTGCCCAGACTGAAAAGCATAGCAATCCAAAGTACTAGATCCAAGTAATGGGTGGTTTTCCAGCATCTCAAGGAGACCCCCAAAGTGTGCGGGTGGTGGTTTTAGATCCAAGCTCCCTGGGTTCAAATCCTGGCTCTGCTTTTATTACCTGCTTGGCAATGGACCAGTACATTAATTGTTTAAAGCTTAATTTCCTTGTCTGTAAAACAAGGATAAGAATAGTGCCTGCCTCATGTTTTTATGAGAATCAAGTCATATAATACATGTGAAACGTTTTGCAAACCCTGACCACATTAAATGCTATGTTAATGTTACTCATTGTTGTCTTAATAAATCCTCAAAATGATGCCAATTCAATTTCACTCTAGTGGTAACCACACAGCATTGTTACCACAAAGAAATGGATCCAAGAACCCTCTAGTATGTAGTGAGTGAAATTTTCCGGAGGGTAAGTTCAAGTTGAATACGGGCCAGATGGTATGGGGTTGCAGGCCCCTGCTAGGGAGCTGAGATGCTGGTTGGGCCTCCCTGTCAGGGAAAGCTTTTTCTGTTGTGTTATGTACCTGGTTTGGGGTTTAGCCTCTATTTACTGTGTCATAATCCCAGGCTTCCCTGGTGGCTCAGATGTTAAAGAATCTGCCTGGAATGCAGGAGAGACCCAGGTTCAATCTCTGGGTCGGGAAGATCCCCTGGAAAAGGAAATGGCAACCCACTCCAGTATTCTGGCCTGGAGAATTCCATGGACTGTACAGTCCATGGGGTCGCAAAGAGTCAGACACAACTGAGTGACTTTCACTTCACTCACTCTCTCCGCCAGTGGTAAAGAATCTGCCTGCCAATGCAGGAGGCGTTAGAAACATGAGTTTGATACCTGGGTAAGGAAGATTCTCTGGAGAAGAAAATGGCAACCCACTCCAGTATTCTTGCCTGGGGAATTGCATGGACAGAGGAGCCTGGTGAGCTACAGTTCTTTGGGTCTCAAAGAACTGGACACAACTGAGCATGCACATACACACACATGCACACACACACACATGCATAATTCTCACAATAACCTGAGGGATAGACATACTTATCTCCATATAACGAATGTGAGGCTCAAGGAAATTACAAAACTTTCCTAGGTTCAGTGATTAAGGGGCAAAGCCAGGATTCTGACCCAGGCCTAAAAACCCCAGAGGTTGAGATCTTCTCACTGAGCCCAGCCTCTACATGAAATAAAAGACCTAGGGTCTAGAGAAACTTTCACGGATCAGACTGAGGACAATCTGGGGTGGTATAAAATCTCCTGGTGTATGTCTAGCAGCTGATCATAATCCCAGGTGCTGGGGGAATTTGAAGAAACATGCACCCATTGAGGGCTGAGAGGTTACTGAGGCTGTGTGCCCAAGGCAGGCTGGAACTAGGCCTTAAAGGAGAATAGTGATGAAAGAGGGTGTCCTCCTTCCACCCTCAAGATGGCAGCTTGGGTGTCAGTCCCAGAAGCACAGCTTAGCCAGTGGAAGGAAGGGGCATCCATAAGGCATAGCCACGCACAGAACAGTTGAACTGCACTGGAGAATCACAGGGAAATACACTGACAGGTTAACAAAGCTCGGTTCGCTGCCAGCCGGGGGCTTGCTCCAGCCTCAGTGGCTACTGCAGTTTCCCAGTGACCAGGTGGAGAGGGGGAGGCTGACAAGGATGGTGTCTGAGTACCCTTGATGTCAACCCACTGCATTTTCCACTTGCGTGGAAAATCCCATGGACAGAGAAGCCTTGTGGGCTACTGTCCAAAATGTCACAAAGAGTCAGGCACGATTGATGACTAATACAAAGATGTGATGAGACAGTCTGAACCAGACTGGAGGTTCTTGGGAATGGGGAGAGAACAGTAAAGGACTCTGTGTTGAGAGCTGGAGGGAAAGGGTAAAGGAGAGGGTGTGGATGTCGTCTCTTGCTTGGGTGTCCTCGGGAGAACCAGAGGCCCTGGGTGGACCTGGTGACCTCCAGGGGGGTTCTTGGGAATGGGGAGAGGACAGTAAAGGACTCTGTGTTGCGAGCTGGAGGGAAAGGGTAAAGGAGAGGGTGTGGATGTCGTCTCTTGATTGGGTGTCCTCGGGAGCACCAGAGACCTTGGGTTGACCTGGTGACCTCCGAGTGATGGGCACTGAGGTGCACTCTGCAACTGCATGTCCACACGTGTCCTCCACTCTGGCCCTGATCTCACTCCAGAGGCTGTGCTCTGGCCACTGGGCCCGGCACCATTCTCCTCTTGCAGAGCGGGATGCAAGAACCCAGTGGGGATACTTGCAGTACGACCCAGGAAGAAGA